GGATAAATGTAGTTTCAGATTGCTTGAAAACTACTATTACAAATAGGTCTAACTAATGCCGTAGCCCATACTATACCATAACATAAACTCTGTATTGACTTCATATTAATATTGAAATGCAGTAATCAAAAGCAAATTAAGACAAATAGACACACAATCATTTCCAGGATAATACAGATCAGCAGCACAGTGAATACACAGGGGACTTTTTTTTCTGGTCAGATGAGAATTCTGGTTATTTGAATACTGGATAACTGAGAGTTTACTGTATATAGGTGAAATGCATAAATGTTTTTTTTCTTTCCTAAAGTTTTTCACATAGTTGACTTTCTGATGTGAGTCTGTATGCCCGCAGAGGATAAGAAAGGTGACATCGCTTTAAAGACCCGGCACTGCAGAGTCAGTTTCACATCTGTGCTCGCTGGCTGCCTTTTCAATCTGAATATTTAAAGTGGACCTATTATCGATTTATTTTAAAATGTTAAGTGCATGCATGCTAAGTAATGTGAAAGTGTAACACATAAAGGTATTTATTACCGCTCCAAGAAATCACAGTATTCCTCCTGACAATTCCTACTTCTGCTTTTCTCTCCAGAAGGACTGCAGCATCTTTGTTCTGACATTATCCAGGGTTGGAATCTGCTCCTTAGACTGAGATACTGGGGGTGATTTACTAACCTAAACACACGCACGCACTAGGTGCGTGTGATTTTTACACAGCAAAACGTATTTATCAACCAAAAAGTCTCTAAAAGCATATTTCCACTAATGCCATATATGGAAAAATCATGCACATGATGCATATATAATGCTGCTTCACAGTTTAGACAAAAATGGTTAGCTCATGCATTTACATTCCTGCATTCATCAATGCAAGCAACACAACATAGAGCTAATTTACACAAGATCACCTTGCAAATTCATGCAGGGCTTTGCACAACACACCTGCTGGGTGTGTACACACTACAGAGGTGTATACATGTTCGTGGTGTGTTTATAAGGTTAGTAAATCAACCCCACTGTCTCAGAGATGACACAACCACCTTCATTTCTGATGCCTGCACCGTTCTTGTCTGTGGTTACAAATGTCTGTTGCAGTTCGGACCCTGCTGCATCCTCTCACCTTTGACTTTCTACAAAGTTGCAATGTTGAAGTCTCAAAGGATACAAGGTGTTTTGTGATTGGAGGAGGAGAGGCGTGGTCCAATGACAGAACTCCTTGTATTCTTTGAGAAACATAGAAGGCATTTAGTGAATGGGCAAGTAGCAAGGAGGGGTGGGGATGTGACCAGAGCATTTCACTGCTCAAGTCTCATCCCTCATTCCCCACAGTTCCCAGAAGCCAAGAGTTATGTGCAGGAGATGGCATGCTGCAGGGTAATATTTTTTTTAACTTTGCAGCAGCCCTCCTGACATAACATACATATTTTTAATGATAATTTACACTACCAGTGTGGTGTAAATTATATATCTATATTTTTTTTTTTTCAATGAGTTTGGCATTAATAATGTGGCTTCCCTCTCCCAATTTCCAGCATACACAGGAACTGCCAATGTGAACCTGACTTCAACCTTTTTGCTAGCCTATGACAACTCTGTAAAGACAGATATATAGTAATTATACCAGGAGAATGGTTTATTGAAGAAATATGTGAGTGAATTAAGTATTTTTACAATCCTGGAATTTTTATATAAAGACCAATGAGTATGCAGATTTCTAACCCAGAATGACACGATTATGAGAGATCAGTCTGTCCTTGCCACTGCTGCATACCACTGGCACCCTCTGCACTTTGTAAAAGAATGGCCCCCTTTTTACAGAGAGGTTAGTAACACTGTTTATGGGTTGAAAAGATGTCGGAGAAGATCTATGGGCACAGATCATGTCTCCTTGCATTTAGGGATTGATCACATTGCAGCTCTTTCCAGTTTATAGACCTTGACAGGTGTTCTGACCCCATCCAAGCACCCTGAAAATTGCCTAAATGTTTGTTAAGCTGCGTTCACACTATGGCGTTTTTAAACAAGTTTTTGTAAGCATTGAAAAAGCACAGCAGAAAAAATACCATGTATTCCTATAGTTCCCCGTTCACACCTAAGCCTAGAGTCGCAAGTAAGATCAGTGCAATTTGTCTCCCTAGACTCAATATAAAACGCGCAACACACTTATTTTGCGTGCGTTTCCTATTTACATCAATATGTCACAGATCTGCTTACAAAAATGCTTGACTTGGTATACACGGGGAAACGTGCGCAAATCCATGCAAAAGAATGTGCATAATGTGCACTGAAACACTGTTGCCTTGGTGTGGGGCTAAGGATTGGCTCAGTCCACACTTTGTGTTTGGGAGACTTGCTACCACGCAGCCAAAATGCCATATGAGTCGGGTCTGGGCAGTCTCTCCACATTGTTTTCTGTGGCGTATTGAGAGCGGTCCAGCTACAGACAAAACTTCAAATCAATGTGAATACATGAATTGCGCAAATCATTTTCAATATTTTTGAATGGTAAACATCTGGCTGCCTAAGCCAGCATTTCTAAACCTTTTATCAGTCACAGCACCCCTTAAAAGTATGCAAAATCTCAAGGCTCACCAATCTAAAATGTCATTGATTTTAAGGGGGACCCTTAGAAAAAACACACAATAGTGGGTTTCCTCCTTCACATTGAAGTGCCCCTTCAAATCAAGATGCC